ATTTGTGGGCATGTAATCTTCTGAATGCTACATATCCTTGTTTAAGAAACTTAAAATAGGTTTGGTTAGACATGAAGTGTGAACCACTGCACTGTGGCGTTTCAGCTACCCTTGCTTCCTACTTCCAACATCCAGATCTACAGCCCTCCTTGACAGAGTTATCAAGGTTCTTTTCTCTTAAGAAAGTTAATTTATACATATCAGATTTCCTCTAAGGGTGAGGCTTCTAAATAGCACCCTGCTTTTTACATAACTAGGACTCTGGGAGTGGCTTTCTTCTGTACTCTTTGATACTGGAGCACTGGCTTTCCTGGGCTGCCCTCTAATTTGCAGTGATTTTGGTGAGAAGAGATTAAGGTCTGTCATGCCAGAGATTTGCATGAGCACTTCTTCATTTCATATACAACACTTCAGTTTAACTTTTGATGGGAAAGTAGAGCTCAGAGTGTCTGACCTATTTATCTCTTTTCTGTTTCTTTTTTTGAGATAAAATTGTCGTTTGGATGAATTGCACATAACAGAGTATGTGTGTTTGGTTACTGTGTCACTTTTGGTAAATCAAAGAGAAAAATCTTTTGTAATCAGCTAGCCTTTAATTTAATAACGCTTTTGATAAATTGCTTGTATACAATAGGTTATCAAACCCAAACATTAAAGATTTCAGTTTGACACTGCTGGAATGAATCATACAGATGGAAAAGGCCAAATTCATAGTTCGTTATCTGGAGTAAAGAAAAAAAAATCCTATCAGTTTCAAGACTTGCAGTAATGAATGAATAAAGAATTTTAAATCTGGCCTAAGGAAGTTAGAGATATGCTTGAAGCATAACTGTTCATTAGAACAGCATTTACAATTCCTTTACTAGAGAGTTTTAGCACACTGTGGATCATTGTTTATTTTTTATTGTATACTACCATTAAGAAATACCTCCTTATATTCTTTTCCTTTTCCTTTCTTTTCCTAATTTATGTCCTTTTCTTGTAACTTGTTCAGCTTCCCACATACACAACCCCCATGCTGGATCTGCTGCACTCCAAAGCATGTGAGTGACAACAGGCTTGACAGCCCTTGGGGTGGTGAAAGATCTGGCGAGAGCAAGCCTCCCCAGCATGCTCATCAGGTTAGTGAGGATACTGTCATGGATGGCAGTGCCATGTATCCTTGTCAGCCATAAGTGTAAAGTGATTGCAGCCAAACCTTTCCTCACAACAAAAAGAGAAAAGGCTGAAAAAAACCTTCTTGAGACAGTGAGTTGAAAGATTATGATGCTTTCCAATAAAAGAAGGCTCCCTTCAAAGTACTTTGCAGGCATACCTGCTTCTTATTTCTATCACTTTGCACACTGTAAAGAGGCCTTACACTGCCTGCAAATATAACCTATTTGAATTTTATAGTCTTTTATGCTGCTGCAACAGCATGCTGAGGCTTTAGGATAAACACAAACTAAAGCCAGCTTGTTCCATTAAGACCTTGATTCACCTACTTTAGAGATTTCCCTCTCAGAAAGATCATGGAGGTAAAACATCTGTAATGGGTTACCCTGACTGTGCAAGGGAAATATCTACTAAGGGAAATAATCTACTTCAGTCTCCCCAGAACTCAAAACCAGCCTGTTTTCAGCAGCTCTGTGGACAACAACATCATTCCTTTAGGTGGCCAGCAGCAGCAGAGACCCTCTCCAGGAGGATGATAGCAGAGTTGGTGTATCTGGCCCATTCATTGAAAAAAGGCCTGTGCATGCTGGCTGTAATATGGTGGAAGGAACAGGGAAACAACTGTCAAGCCCAAAGTCAGCACCTCAGCAGCTGGAATCTACCAGCAATTTCAGTTTGTGCTACTATGTTAAAACAAGAATGCAGTCAGTCCCATTTCAGTTTGCATTAAAATGTGCTCTTTACTTGCTGCAGAGGTAATAATCATAATAATATTGCAGATGAGCATTTACCATATTTGCTCTCCCTGTCACATCACATCACCATTCATGACTAAACGTCCTGAGGCTGAGAGAAAACGATAGTACATCTCTATTTCCTTTGCACACCCTCATATTAGCCAGGTAAAACATGACTTCCACAAAGCTCCTTTTGATAGAGGTAACAGCAATTGTTTTCTATTTAAATCTGGTACGTGAAGGATTTAAAGTTAAGTGACTTTTTCTAGGTCAGAAAGAGATTCAGCACCTGTATTTTTCAAAGGCATGCCAGAGCCCTGACTTCTGCCTTGTGCTCCCACAGCTAAATTTTATCTCATAGAGCTGAACACTGGTGATGAATGTGCTGTGGAATTTACTTTGGAAAACAAATATTTAACTTTCTACAGATCACTGAAGACCTGATAAAACTCTTGAGTGTCACCTGCCTAATTTCTCTCTATTTTTAATTGAAAAATCTTCTTATTCTTTTCATCTAAATGTGTGGTTCAAATAAGAATGGAAAGGCGATTTGCGGCTCTTTTCAAATATCACTCATGCAAATAGGATTCACAAAGTCAGTGTTCAGAGTGAGTCTTTGAAGGAAAAAAAATCCTTTTAAAAGCATCTGTTATTTCAAAAAGAGGAGTCACATTTATGATTAACCAAGAGGGCCAGTGCTTCCTTCTTGCTCTTGGGAGTGGAGAGGGAAATGGCCAGGAAGGCAGGGCTGGGCTGTGTATGGGGTGATGTGAGCAGCTTTGATATCCCGGGTGATGCTCCCCTGTGCACAGGCTGGTGGTGCAAATTCCACGGTGGGGAAGGGCAGAGCAGGAGCCAAGGAAGCACTCCAGAGAGCCAGGTAGTGAGACGGATAGTTTGTTCCCAGCAAAGACATGGGAGTGCTGGCACCAGCTAATTAATCTAGCTCCATTCTCCAAAATGGGAGATTGGAGTCTACAAAAGGCTTTTGTTCTTGTTTATTGTTTACAGTAATTTCCTATGAGAACTGAAGGCTTTCTTATGATAAGGCAAAAATTTAAACACCTCACAGTTGCTGAAAAATATATCCAAATACAATATTGATAGGAAAAGTCAGCCTGAAAATGCCAGGGTGAGAAAGGGATTCTGCACAGGGCATTTTAGACAGTTGCTTTTCAACTCTTTTCAATAAATTAACTAAATATAGTCCTTATTTATTGTTCGCATTTCTTTAGATCATTTAGTTTATATCAAGATTCTAATTTGACAAAATTGTTTTTTCTTATTTTACTTCAAGATCTTGTAGATTTAAATTTAAAATATTTTATGTTAAACTTTTTTCCCCTCATCTCCTCCCTAGAAAGCAAAGGAGATCTTTTATAAGTCTTGACATATTTAATCTTCTTAAGTTCTGATAATTATAAAAAACCCCCCAAAATGTATGTAAATAATTTGAATGCTAGGAAGTATTAGGATCGGGACTGAGTATAAAAAGGAAAATGTAATTGTATTACCATATTACCATGTTGTTTAACTGCCCATAGGTTCAATTTTTAATTAATTTCTGGTCATTTTAACCTAAAATGGGATATAGCAAAAAGACAAAGTGCGTTGAAAGGAGAGAAGGCTGATTAGAGAAACAAATTGTTTCTATATTAAGTACATACAAATAGATTAAGATTATACAAGACAGAAAAACACAAACAAGGGGGGAATTACAGAGATCTGAAGCAGCATTATTTGCCTGAGGAAGACATGTTTATATGCAATGACTATTCACTACTTCTCTAAATTCAGGAAGCAATGGAAATCAAATTATGTTTTCATATAGCAGACTCAAACTAAACAGCATGTTTTGGTTTTCTCCTACATAAAAAAAAAAGTATTAATCTGTGTAACTTGTTGCTAAACTATTTGCCAATGCCAAAAATTTACATGAATTTTAAAACTCATTAAGCAGACTCAAAGAAGAATAATCTTTGAAAGGCTAATAAATATAAGTTAAAACCTGCTACTCAGGAAGACCTTGAACTTCAGATCAGAGGAAGTTGTTAGACTGTACTAGGAAAGTAGGTCTTTTATATATTTTGCTGTGTTTCTATGCTGTTCAGTAGAGGAACTACTCTTCTTGCATTTCCCTTGATCAATCCTGAAAACAAAAAACTATATGTAAATTTTATTCTACCCTAAAAATTACCTTTTTTTCTGGAGTTCAAAAAACCTGAACAAACATCCAAAATTTAGCAAAACTAAGTATTTTGGTTGTCAGAAAAAGATTGGCCAAGTTTCAGTGAATTAAATTAAAAAGAAACAGTAAAAGAACAAACTGCCTATTTACAAAACAGAAAATCTCATTTTCCTCCCACATCTATTCATATCTATTTGCTGTCATTACAGGTAAGAACATACTGCTGGTGAGAATATTTAAACATAAAATTACATAAAAAATATAGCAGGTAAAGTAGTAAAACGGGCAGAATAAGATAATACAAAAGTTAGGCCTATTTTAAATTGGACCGTGTTTAAAATTTTATAATGAGTTTTGGACCAACTCCACTGAAAAAAATAGAGAATCTCTTCCTATTGTTTTTGTGACATTTTACTTCAGGACTTTTTTGTTGTTCTCCTTGCCTCACTCAGTTTACCTAACTTTCATGATGCAGTCATCTAAAAAAACAATTTACAAGTTGTATATTTTAATAAAGCAAAGTGAGTGAATTTTTCTTGTGTCGGCTCTGAAAAAAAATTTTCTTTTCTGCTCACTCTTTGTAGCTAATTATCTAATCTCCTTCAAATTCTTAGCAAGCATAAGCCTGCCTTTTCTGGTGATTGATACAGAACTACTCTGATCTATTAAACTAGGGCACACCTAATCCTAATATCGCACCAAAAGGAATTGAATAGGAAAAAAAATTAAAGCACAAATCTTCAGCATGTGAGAAACAAAACTGACTTTATTTCCTCTAAAGATGGTGTTGTAATTCTGCAAATTTAATTCCGCATTACATCTAGAAAGTCCTAGCTGCAATAGTTCATATTTATGTAATATTAACACTTTTGTTTTGAGAAATCTGGATGTTATATAGGTGTGACCATTCACCCTTAAGGAGAAGTAATTTTGTTAAACTGTCTGAAGCTAAACGAACTGCAGTTGGAAAAAGCAGACAAGTGTTACACAGAAACTGGGGCTTTTTTTTCTTAAAAAAAAGTCTTTTCTGTCTCAGAAACCTGGACTATCATTCATTTCAATGACAAATATTTCCTCTTCCTGTAAAATCTTGATTTTTCCTAGTCTTAAGCAATCATGTCTGTGATCATGCTGCTGAAATAAGGAGATTCTGAAAGACCAGCAGACTGAGAGACAGCTGAGATGGTGCCATGGCTATTAGTCTCTAGGTAAGATATCCTTCTGTTAGTAGTGTGGAGAAGCAGTGATGACCTAGCACAGTTGGAACTGGATCTGCTTGCTCTGAACAGCTGGGAGAGAAAAGATGAAGCGTCAGCTATTTAGTGTAATTCCGTGTGTTCTAAAATCCAGAATGTCATGGGAGTGATGCATTGCCTTGGCTTGTCAGACTGGTCCTTCTGTGGTACAGATTATGTCTGAGGCTGTCTGAGTTTGCTCAGTGTTTGAGATAAGGAAAGACTTTGAATCTTGCTAAAATCCCTTAAGAAACCAGACACCTGAACTGCAAACAGATGACATAAGCAGCAGCAGTCAATAATTTGGAAGTTTATCTCTCACATGTACAATTCAGTGGGTGTTTAAACATTGATTTTCTTGAAATTAGAATCAGGCTCCCAGGTTCTAAATTAATTTTTAACTAATGTACAGAAGGAAATGCTCCATTAAATTGCTGCTACTGTGTTACTTGTCACAACACCAACACCACCTTCTGCTGTTGCAGAGGCCTCAGTTCAGCAGCCTCTCATCCTCCAAACTGCTTGAAATCAATAACACTCTATTCAGTCTCCCAGCAAACAGTGAAAAGTCTGTTAGCCTAATCCTCACAGAGAAAAAAAAAAAAGAGATGGAATTTTATGTGCTTTTTATTTACATTTAAGAGTAAAATAAGGGTTGAAAAATACTCTTTTAAGGCTGAAGTGTTAAAGTTTTGTTGTTTACCTAGGACTTTGCACCCGAAGTTTCCTTTGTTTCATGGACTATCTGTGGACTCCAAGGTGGGTAAAAAATTCTGACCTGTGGCCTGAGGTCAAAGTATGAACCTCTCCTTCCTGAAGTTTGCAACTTTGCATGGAGCTGCTGGACTAGAATGTATTCATATGATGTTCAGTTTGCCCTCATTTTCCTTTCATTAAGGGAAATGTGGACATTCAGTAAAGTTGCCATTTAGATGTGCTTAATATTAGACTAGGTCAGGAAGTCACAAGGTCTTTAAGTGCCTTTTGTGCAGGAGCAATTAGAGCCTGATAGCTTTCTATTTCTCTTGTCACATAGAGGCTTTTTAAAATATAATAAGATAGAAACAAATGCAGTGGGGTGATTTTTATTATACCTAGCTCATCTAGCATTGCTGTCAAGTTAAGTTATAGTTTTCAGAGGAAATCACCAAATAGTATATTTATGGTTTTTCTATTGTAAATCACACCATCATTATTGAGATAGAAAATCTACAATAATTATTCTATCATCTCTATTTTTTCTATAAATTCTGCTATATATCAATGGGCAGAGAAATAACAGCCAATATATATCCAGTGCATATAAATGAGCTGATACTTATTGCATTTAAAAGTAAAGCAGCTTCTGTACAATCTGTTGCATGTTCCCATAGCTGTAAATGGGCCTGAGAAAGCAAACACAGTTGAATATCAACAGTTTAGGCCATCAGACTGCATTGACCCTTTGAGGTCAATGAAAAGAATGTTAATGAGTTCAGTGGGCTTTTCAGTCAGATTTTGGTTATGTACCTATTCACCACAGATGTGTACTTCAACTGCAGAAGCAAACAAAAGTATTTAAGCTACAGGTATCATCCTTAAGGTGTGACTACTTTGCTTTCACTTCCTAACCAAAACTTGCTTGGTTTGGTTCAGGACGCTTTTACACAGCTTTACTCTCATTGCTGTAAAATAGAAACAAAAATTTACTGAAAACTTTTTTGCCTCCTTGCATAGTTTCAAAAAAGAGTTTGGTGGCACACAAATGGCTTCAATTAAGTGAAAATATTTTTTATTTCTGTAAGTCAATAATTTGAAACAATCATGTTTAGAAATTTAAATTAGCATAATGAACAGAAAAAAAAATGCCTCCTCTAATCTTGATATTGTTTTAGGTTGAATACATTTCATTGTTGACATTTGAATTTGTTACTGGTTGAAGTTCAAATTACAACAATGAAGGCATATTTGTTTCAGGTTTAAATTTCTCTTTGTTTAATATAGCTGTCAAGTAATGAGAAAAATTCAGATCATACAAATAACTTTTTTAAATAGAAAAATATTTTATAAGGTGGTCAAATTTCATTTGGCTTAGCTTCAAAAAGGAATGGGTTATTTCAAATTTGCAAATCCATGAGCAACAAATTTTGTATCTGATTTGCTTCATTTGTAAAGGCAAGCTGAAGCAAACTATTCCCTGCTGATGCTCACATTCAGCATATCTCCTGGTTTCCCAAACCATTGGAGAGGATAGGTTCTAAAAGCTAGTTTGAAGTCTGTGATAGAGAAAGAGATTTTCTTCTAGTTCTCTGTTTTGCCTGATAACCTTTCTAAATGCTCTGACAAAATGTAAGCTTAAATGTAAATGTTGTGTCTATTCACAATGATTCTTTTGCAAGAGCTAAGAAATAGTCCAGGTCAAAAAAAATCTTGAGGGGATCATATTTGGCTGAAATTAATAATTCTTCTAAAACTACATTTCTTATATATGGGATGCAATTTTCAAAATTTCATTTTGAGGGGGAAAAAATGTCACCACAATACTAAAGAAAATCTCATTTTACCATTTTCATAACAATTAAGTTTTGCCGTCGATTTTACAACTTACATTTTCAATTTCTATTGTAGATTTTTTTCTCCACACTCTGTACATTACAACACTTTAAAAGTTTAACCAACCACAGGAATTTTCCTTTCCTTATGTCTGTCTTCTTAAAACTTAACTTCCTGGAGGGTTTGGAGTCTGAAAGATCTGTTATACATTGAATTTTTTTCCCAACATGGAACTATCAGCACCTACACAGCTCTAAGGGTTGATTTGCTAAAAGCTCTACACTGTTTGATTCAGATTTCATATAAAAGAGTGAAAATTCTGCAGGAGGCTCTCTCAAAGTGTCCAGCGCTTGGTGCACCTGCAGTAGAGGTGAACAGACCAACTGAGGAGGTCATAGGTATAGATCTCAGGCAATTCAGTACAGACCTGGCTGTCCAAACTGAAAAGCTTACACTTCCATAGCAATGGCCTGGTTCTGTGGGTTATTTTTAAAGTAAAACATGAAATTTGCCCACCTTAGTGTAAAGAGAGTGTGGTTGGACTAGATGAGCCCACCATGGTCCCTCCCAGCCTTACCTTTTCTGTGATTCAGAGAAAGCAGCAAACTGATTTTCCCTCCAGGATGATGCTCAGGGCTGAAGGTGAGATATGGCAGGTGTGTGCCACTCGGACATAGGTGTGAGTGACATTTCTGGCATGTTCTTGACCACAGAGTCTCCTCCTTGGCTAATTATTACCCAGTGATTGCTGAGCTGGGGAACAGAGTGGTTCCAGCCCCCATGATTGCCTTTTAGTGTGCTGCTGTGGGGGCTCTGGCTGGCTGCATGCTCCCTTCAAGGGAACCTGTGTGCCCATTGTTTAGTCACCTAAATCCTTTGTGGACACAGCCTTTGGTGAAAATAAAACCAACTGAGTTAGAGGACATTTAGGGCAGGACTATCAAAAATGAAGTTGTTTAACAAAGATAATCTCCTGTTGACATATCACAGTGCACTATTTTGTAGAGAAACTGTTGAATTTTAATTACTTGAAGAATTTGGAAAAAAATTGCTGTTTGATTTTCAAAGTTTTCTGTATTTATAGTTTCAATTAACTTCACCGCTTATATACTATTGTTTAAGTATACTTCATAGCTATTAAATTTATATTTTTCACACAGTATCAGGTTTTTTTCTTTGTTTGATGTTCCACAGGGGTATAAGGTCCCTTTAAGGAAAGAGTAAATTTTACATTACTTCATATGGCTCATTGTTCTGACTGTTGCTGTGTATTTCTGAGAACATATTCAGGCTTTTTTGAAAGTTTTGTTGTAACTGACTGCCAGCATCTGAAAGTGCATTTCAGGACTAGTGCTTGAAATGTATATACTTTTTCCAGGCCAGTTGAGTAATGAAAACTTATTTAATTATTTCTATGTTCTCGAATGGTGTACAGTGTAATTAACTATGATGCGGATTTCCAGGCTAATTAGAACAAAGTGTGGTACCAAATTAATTGGACACAAAAGTACCTCTGAAGAGCAATGGAACAAGTTTATGACTTGTGTTTCATAAAAGTAACATGAAAGTGGTATGAATGCAGTATATAAAAAAATTTAGGGAAACTGTTAAGATAATCTTCAACGCAAGACATTTTTGGCAGTTCATTTAAGAATCAAGTGGGTCTTTGCCTTATTTGATTCAAGCCTCCTTCCTTTGAAGCGTTGCTGCCCACCAACATGCTGGACCTCATATCACACAACTCCCTATACCATCTTCTCCTTAGGCAGGAAAATCTTTCCCTATAGCTGCTTGGATTCTCACAAATTCACTGACACATACTCTCAAGATTTTATGACATCTGCTATTTTTCCTAACAATTTCTAGAGTCATACTAAATTTTATTAATTGCAGCTTTCTTAGGAGGGGAAAAGAAGAACAGGAGAAGTCTGAGAATTCTGTCATATCCTAAAA